GACCTTGAAAAAATGTAGGGTTGGGTGTTATTTGATTTTTTGTCTCGGGGAGATCTTCCGTTTCTTGAGCTCTGCATAGAAGCTGGTGATTTGATCTTGATTATTAATGGTGTATGAAGAGACTCCCCCGAGTCAAAAGCACCCTGAGCAACGAGTGGTGTGGTGGCAAGGCGGTCACACATTTGACATCGCTGTGGTCGACCGTTGTGAATCAAGGGTGCTGGTGTAAATCATGCTGAACCCTGGGGAACAAGCGCCCCACCCCTTACTCTTGGAGGAGATAATAAGTTGCTACCCCATAATGTAGTAAGTATATAAGGATCCTCTGGCACTCGATAACTTGACAGTACGTATATTTTGTATAGAAAAATTCTGATATTGCAACATGAGGCAGAATGTGATTCAAAAGTTGTTGTTTTAAAAATAACACTGAAACGTAAAGCTGAACAGTGACATATCAAAGGACGCGAAACCAAAACTTAGTTTCTGTCAGAACATTGCATCAAAAACAGATTTCTCGCAAATTCAAATAAATGTATTGTTGTTTTTTTTGTTTTTTTTATTCTCTATGTCTTTTTTTTTAATGTCAAGGTCTGAATTAATACTATAAGATTCTAGTTCACATTTATCTGGTTCTCAACTCAGTCCATTGTAGACATTAATTGGTCAATTAATCTTTATTCAAAGATAAAGACACATTTTTAAAGGCTTAGACTACGCTAGTCCCTAGGTACACACTTGCCAAGGTTATATTAAGTACAAGAAAGATAAGACTATATAGATGTAACACTAAAGATAAGGCTACAACAATGTAATTCATTTCATTTACTTGAAATTATTCTAAAAATCCGTATTAAAAGCGAAACAAAAAATAAAGAACTTTGTGACAATGATTCTAATGGCCTGATCATTTAACAAAATAAAGTTAAAATAAGTTCTTTTTATGTTTACGTTCTTAGTAGGAATCCCTAAAAAGCAGTCCTTAATGTTCACAATAAGATCTTATAAAGAAAACCCAGCGTTCAAAAAATTGAAATATTAATTCCACACGAAAACCGCTGAGAGATTTCAATGAAACATGCTATACTGACTGACCTGCCTGTACATTTCGCGGATGTGGTCCCTCCGTGTTTCTGTGACGTATCAGCGGTCATCGTGAAGCCGTCGTGAAGCCAGTTGCTGATGCCGTTCTCAAAGCCAGGGTTCTGCAGCAGCTCCGTGGCACCGTGAACGCCCCACACGCAGAGGGAGGCAAGAGCGACGTACACCCTTAGCGGTAACATACTTGATCGGAAACTTTCAATTAACTGAAATGACTCGACTCCAGCAACCGCGCCTTTTATTTACATTAGGCCATGCGCTCTCAAACTTTTCGAAAACAGTACCAGCTATATTAACTTTTGAAATGTGTGTACCATCTCGTGAAAATTTCGTATTTCAGCCTCTGTGTAAACATATGTCTCTGTCTTTTTGTTACATGACTACTGATTATAACAACGTCATAATCATTAGTGGTATATTGAGCGCGTCTTGAGAATCCTTGCAGTAGGTCGTATTTACTACATAACATTTATGCTGATGCGTTCATTTAAAAAAAAAGAGTAACATTTTATCTTCAGGGTCATAAATGGCTAATATGTTGTCAAATATTGACAATCAAGACTGACATCTCCAAGGTCACCAAGGCTTGTTGTTCACTGGTACACTCGTAATTCTCACAGACGTCAACACTGATAACGCCTGAACAGCAGTTCTTCAGTTTTCAATTTTAACCTTAGAAATTCGGTATTGATTTTGAGGGAAAAATAATGATAAAATATTTAAAATAATTTTAAAAGATTGAAAAACAAAAATGTTTCCGTTCAGTCCCAGTTTGTAAGTATTTGGGAAATGTTGGGAAGTGGAACTGATTCTTTCATGGGGTTAGAGCATTTTACAGCATAAAGTGCTGATAGCTATAACGATTTCTTCGATGGGATTAAAGACAGTATAAAGTGCTGCCAGCAAGGGCTGTAGCAACAAAAAGCTGCGCCCGAGGCAAAACCTGAATATAGGCGCCTTCTTACCAAAATATTATTAAGCATATTTTGTAAGAAAGATGACAGGTTTCACCCACCCTCCCTTTTTCGCTCAGCCCTGCTGCCAGACCCCACTTTGTGTCGGTAAAAGTGAAGAGTTATTTGGGAAAAACGATTTGCTTGTATAGTTCCGAATTTCATTGTAAAGTTTAACTCTTGTTGCTGCCTGGATATCTCAATAATTCATGAGTCACAGCTTTTCAGATTGGATAAATAAAAACAACTAACTTACAAGATAATAAAAAATTTAAAAAATACCGGTAGCTAAAAATCAATGGTATTAAAGTATATCTGCAATACATAAACTGAATTCAATCTAGTTTTGGCCTGTTCCATTGTAAGCATTTGGCACAAACTTATATTCAACCCCATTCTTAAAATTTATCAGCGTGAGGTAAAAAAAAAAAGGGGGGGGGGGGGACAGAAATTGAGGGTGCTGAAGATAGTCGGGAAATTTCAAAATGTAGAGTTGTATTTTGGCACATAATGGAATTCAGTGTTTCTTTCTAGCAACTTATAGGTGGTCATCTCAACTTTCGAGTGGGAAGCGCCAATTTTAGCCATAATAATGAGCAATGACATCGATAACTCCACCCTAGCCCAGCATGAGCTACATTCATTTCTGTTGTGTCGCCCTTGAGGGTATGCTTTTTGTCCCAGCTTATTGTCGCCCCTCAAATCTTTATAGTGACTGGGTGGCCGAATGCTCTAAACTGAGCAAACGCAAGTTGTTGGTCTGGAGTTCAATTCCAGCCAGTCAAGAAAAAACATCACCAGCATCCCGGGTGGATGGGACTCGTTAACCTTGGTCGGCAACTCATCTAAGAGAAGGAAACTCTGAATTCAAACCCGGAGTTGGAGTCCCGTAAGGGACATACAATGACAATTCCTGCAACCGTACCCATCCCTGGTCGTCTTGACGTAGTCTTGCCACTGGATATGGTGGGCCCGGACGAGAGAGTGAGGTTGACGCCGCGCAACTCTTCCTCACTTTAAACAAAAGTCACCCGCGCAAGTCATCAGTCATCCAACGCCGGACGACTCGATGGTCCTAGTCGATCTTCGACGGACGAACAACGACATAGTCCCCAGAAATTTTGTGATGATTCAAAATGAAAGAATGCATTTTAGCACGTACCTAAAATTTTGTTTTACTACATTCTACATTTAATTGAAGAGCAGCGGAAGAGATGCCAGTTAAAAATGTAGGTGTCACTTGAAATTAGCGCCATCTGGTGAGCCCCACAATCTAATGCAAGGTGGGGCCTGGAATATTTAACACTTTAAAGGATTCATGTGGACCCATTTTGATTTATTAACTTTGAATGCAAGGTTGGGGGAGGACAAAACCGGAGTGTGTCAGTGGGTCTCGAAAAGTCAAGCAACGGCTCTGCTTTACGTGCTTGTGTTATACAAATGTTGTCTTTTTATACTACTTAATGGTAATGCGGCTTTCAATTTTTATTTAAAGTATTTTGGGGGTTAACTATTAACTACTTATTAAATGAATTTTAAGTTTTAAAAAAAATATTAAAAAATTTAATTTAAAAAAAAAAGAACAACACAACTTTCCTTTCAAGAAAAGTTGTCATAAAAAATACACTGTTAACATCGTTTAACAGGTTGAAAGTAAATTTGGGGGGGGGGGGTACCAAACAACTTACTTACAATAATAACTTTTCTGAATATTTGCAAGTTTAATAAGAATTTTTTGTTAAAGTTTTTTTGAAAGGTGTATACATTCTAAGAGTTTTAAAACAGTTCATTTGTTTAAAAAATTATACAATCAGCATAATTATGTTTTAAGACGACAGGATCTGTTTGCAAAAGACGTCATATAATTTTTAAATTAATGATTATATCCGAGAGAATTCGTATAAAAATTAAGTGCAAATCTCCCAATATCCACTTGATTGATGTGTTTATTTGGAGTTTCAGACTACTATAACACTCTGCCTCTTTTACATACTTTCTACACATTTTAAAAAAAAACATAATTTATTTGGAATTTGACAATTAAGAAGATTTTTCTTAAGTAAATTAGTACACAAAAAAGGAAAGAATATGCAGGATAATGCCCAGAAGAGACTTTGTTCACGCCTACGCTAAGCAGTACTTCATTACCATGAGTCAAACAAGAGACTTTGTTCACGCCTACGCTAAGCAGCACTTCATTACCATGAGTCAAACGTCTTTCTATAGGAATAGGCTTTTCTGAAATATTTTGTTCCTCGACCTCGATATCCCGCCCACCCACTCTCAAAGATTAAAAACCAAGGCACCTTTTACGAACTTGTGTGGGAGAAGGTCACGTGTTATACAGCAAGAGGCCAGGTCACGTGTAGGCGGGAATGTTTGCATTTTTTATTTTAAAATTAAACTATAATTTACCCCCAGCCCCACCCCCAACCAAAAAAAATATTTTAAATTAAAACATTATTTTAAAAAACGGTTTAAAAAAATTAAAATTTAATTTTTCTTAAATATTAATTAATAAATAACATTAAAAAATATATACTTGAATGCTGTTCATACAATGTTTCATAGTTAGTTCGATAATGCTGCTCAGTGTCTCTAAAAAAATGTTCAATTCTCCCTCTCCCATTTCCCCAAGCCTGGCAACACATCGCTTATCTTTCTTAACTGAAATCGTCATCTGTGCATCTGCTCTAATTGACTTAAAGCCAAGTCAATGTGGAAATGTCGTGTGGGATGTGACCTGAGTATGACATCCTGTTCTTGTTTGTTTCTGCTTTTTTTAAATTTATTTTTTTAAGGGCGCATATGGCTTCTGAATCGACTCGATAAAAATAAAGTTAACGCATTCTGAAATAACACAAAAACGGACCAGGTCAAGGAATCCCCACTGTCTATACCTCTAGGAAAGAAAAACAAACATAATGTACAAAGGAGATAAAATAATAAAATTGTTAAACTCACTGATTTTTTAATCAATCTCATTTTTGTACATGGAAATATCAGGTCATCATTTCTTCTGTCCAACAGATCTTTTGTGGTTTGTGGGTTTTTTTCCCCCCGTAAAATGTGTGTGAGATTTCCTAGTGACGTGATTCTATGGTCTTTAGAGGATGGCTTGTCATGGCGTCTCAAAAACTGGAAAGTTCTCAAGCCGTTATACATGGCAGCAAGTGGCGTACGCTACAACACCCCCCTCATTTCCAAACCTCTCGTAGGCATTGACGGCAACGCAGTGGTCGACTCCGTTGGTAGCTAGGGAGAGAAAGATTGATGATTGTGTTAAGACATTCGTTATAAATAGAGATATCTCTCTTCCGCAAATCCCAAAATGATTACTAATCAACTGTTTAATCCCCCCACCCCACCCTAATTCTGTAAACCCCCAATTCGACAAACAATTTAATATAGCAGACTTGATTAGGATTGATTTCGTTGGCGTTTAAAAAGTATGTTAATGTGTCCTGAAAATAGTGCCGTTCAACTTTGCCTGACAGAATTTGTATGAACTGAGAACGATGTCAAAATGAAGGGTTAATATTACTAGCTGTAAGATTATTGATATGCAGGGCTTTCGAGGCAGAGGAGTATGAAGCTGGGCAGAGGTATGCCCCCGGTTGGGGGGGGGGGGGCTTTCTCCTTTATTTGGATTTGCGCCATTTTGGACCGATAGCAGAGTTGTTGTTTTTTTTCGTGAAAGAGGACGGCAAAGATCCTGTCCCCCCCGTGGCGGCCCTCCCCCTAGCTCCGCCATTGTTTCGAGGTTCCCGGATTGGATAATATCATAAAAACTAAACCCCAGGTTGGGGGGGGGGGGCTTTCTCCTTTATTTGGATTTGCGCCATTTTGGACCGATAGCAGAGTTGTTGTTTTTTTTCGTGAAAGAGGACGGCAAAGATCCTGTCCCACCCGTGGCGGCCCTCACCCTAGCTACGCCATTGTTTCGAGGTTCACGGATTTGATAATATCATAAAAGCTAAACCCCTAGGTGTGTGAAAAGATAACACGAATCGACACCTCATAAAACTGTTTTTGTTACTGTTATGCTATTGGAGGGACATGTTGTTAGTGTTACATTTTGTTAGTGAGAAATCAACATATTCATGAAAGCAGCTTATTTATACAACAATGGATATTTCTTGAGTTGTTTACTGTGTTCTATTTCTTGTGATATTTTCATTTGTCCTGTTCTCCGAGGAAGGCTCTATGCCGAAATGCTCTAATCTTATTGTCCTGTCCTTAAATTCAAGCTTCCACATACCTCGTTTTGCTATTTCATTTAATTAGCTTGAATGCAGACCTTTAATTATTATAATTTATACAGCTCTGTCCACCACATTAAAACCAAACAATTTAACGCAGCACTGCAGAAGTTAACTATACTTACTCTCAATGAAGGCCCCGGCAGCCTTAGAGTTGGGTGTGTACACATTGCATCCCGTCATGACCTGACCAGCCGGACACTGGACAGTGGATCTGGCACCAACCGGATGACCGCCGGGCGCTGAGTGGACGGTGGTGCATTTGATGTTTCCACCTTTGCAGCAGGCGGCGTATGAGAAAACACCTGAAATAGATGCATGTACGACCGTCAGACCAAAGGAGTAATTTTTGCAAGTTGCAACAGCGAAGTACTTTAAATTATTAATAACATTGAATGCTTTTCCGTGACGATCCGAAAATATCCTTTTTTTAAAAAAGACTTTATTTCTAAACACTAGACTGTTATGTAAACCGGCGCCTGCTAGTCTGACCTAAATTTGATTTATTCAGTTTCTTGATTAGATCACATCATGGTGGTTGTAGAAATGTGACATGGTTGCGATTCTTACATTATTTAGAGAATCCCCTGTTGCTGATATTTAATAGTGTCGGATATAGACATAAGCTAAGGAAACAGATGCCAAAAATAATAAGGGAAGAGCACTGTTACGGAACCCTCCAGGATCAAGAGAAACGAGGAAACCGAAAACAACCAGCGAAGAGAGGGCGAAAAGCGTATCCGAAAATTTGATCGAAAGAAACTTCGTCGACTGTAGATTGATCGACGGTAATTTGATCGAACGGAAATGTGGTCGAATCTTTGCTTTTTTTAAAGTTTTTACGTTAAAATTTTGCTTTAAGTTTAATTTTGAACGCATTATTTTGTTTTACTTTATAATATGGAGCGTTCAAAAGAAAATTATGAAAATTTTAACGTGTGAATTGAAAAAAAGATTCGACCAAATTTCCGTTCGATCAAATTACCGTCGATCAATTTACCGTCGACGAAATTTCTTTCGATCAAATTTCCGGTAACCGTCGAAAAGTGATGAAAGATTCGAAGAAGATTGCAACAGACCGGAAGGCGTGGAAAGATGGTTGTTGATCGCCTACACTCCACTGGGGAGGGGGGAGGGGGGTTAACAATTTAAACCTAATCAGTGCTATTTGATAAGTTTAGAGACAAACTAAAAAAAAAAACGGTTTTCGGCTGCAAGTTTCAACATAAAAAGATAATGAAACTATTGGACGGACATCTTACCGGCAGTGACACCGTCATTTTGACCAACGCAGGATGTGTTCGTGATGAGGGTACCATCGGAGTCGGACATGTAGGTAAATGTGGCACAGCCTAGGTCAACACGAGGAAGCAAACGCATCAATTAAACACATGAAGTGAACGCGTGTTAAACACAGCTAATTTAAATTTAAAAAATCACACGATCGAAAAGCTACAAAGATTATTCTCTATTTCGCAAACCCTTTTTTTCTTTTTTAACAAAGAATTTATTATTATTTCAACTTTTGGAAAACCCATGATTCAGCAACGACACCGAGAATGTGAAAAGTTAGGTTAACCACTGACCTAGAGGGTAACCATCAGCACCACACGGGATAACGACCTGGTCATCTACCCCATGTCCTGATGGTCCGGCCGTCTTGTATGTACACGTCAGTCCACTCAGACTGCAACACCTGGCGCTGGCCTGGATACCTGGGGGGAACAGGAGACACAATAAACATAAACAACAAAGGGGTGTGGGGGCGTATTTCAGATTTAAAAAAAAAAAAATTATTCAAAATAGCTAAGATCTCGATGCAAAAACAAAAGAGACAATTTGACTATGAAGTTCCAGATGATACAATTCTTGACCGCGAAAAGATTTTGAGAATTTTTTTTTAAACCGATTGTTAATATAATAAATCTTTCAGTTTATGGTCGACTTTTTTTTTACTGTTATCTCACTGTGATTTTGTTTGATTTTCATGACGTAAAAACAACCTAGAATATTTGATTTTAAAAAAGAAGTTTTTAAAGAATACGTGGGCTTTAAGTTACATTTAGCACCTGCTGAAAATGAAAATTCAGCTTCATTGGCTTAGAATAGTGGGAAGGGGGACGGTCCGCCCTAGACAACACTTTTTTCTATATACTTTTAATTTTTAAAAATTGGGGGGGGGGGGCTGAATATTCGACCAAACGCAATAGAAAAGAAAGGGATTTTAGGGATAAAACACGCAATGCATATTTATGTTTCACCGTGAAAAGATCGACAAAATTCTTTTTATGCTAGCAAAAATTTATTTTAAATGTATTCAACAATAACAAAAACAATATGTAAAACGCGACTTTGTAAATTAGGATCCAGGAGAAACAGAAGGTCTAAACTGAGTCAATCACGTGCTTGTGGACTGGAGTTAAAACCCCTAAAAAAAAGCCTAGACACGCCAAAAAAAAAAAAAAACACCATCACCCTGGAAGGACGAGATGAAGGATCCAGGAGAAACAGAAGGTCTAAACTGAGTCAATCACGTGCTTGTGGACTGGAGTTAAAACCCCTAAAAAAAAGCCTAGACACGCCAAAAAAAAAAAAACACCATCACCCTGGAAGGACGAGATGCGTTAACCTTGGATGGCAAATCATCTCATCTAACAGAAGGCAAATCATCTAAAAGAAGGCAATTTCTGAACGCAAACCCGCAGAGATGGAGTCCCGTAGGCGGTATGACACAATGAAAATTCCGACAACTCCTGCGGCGTGGAACGGATAAAGAGCAATCCCCAGTTTAAAATCATAAAGAGCAATCTCAAGTTTAAACTCATACAAAAAAATGTGTTCTTTAAAATATGTCTGAAGGTCTTTTTTTTTCCTTGGCTTAGCTAGAATACCCATAGCTAGAACGCTTGCGGGAGATTGGGATATCAGCTAAAATTTCCGAAATAATTCGAATATGGCTTCATGTAGGAAAAGCACGTTTTCTCTTGAAATAAGCTATCGAATATAATATATACTCTTAACACTCTCAATATTTTACCACATTTTACCATTGGAATTATTAATTAATTTTTTTTTTTTTTTTTTTTTTTTTTTATAATATTTTTTTTTTTTTTGACTTTTTTTTTTATTTATTTTTTTTTTTTTTTTTTTTTTTGAAGAACAGTTTTTCTTCATTCGAACTTATGTTTTAAGAAACTGAATCTTCTATGGCCATTAAACACCGAGCTAAGAAAGAGAATGTTCTATGGCTTTTAAACACCGAGAACTAGTAAAGATGACAGATTAACTTTTATGATGGAAGGGGCGTGGTACTTTTAGTTCTCGTCTGTAGCAACAAACTCTCTTAGCCGAAACTGAGAGCAACTCTTTCAAATGGTACACTTGTGCAATTCATTCATGTCAGTTGGAACAATAATTTCAACAACACATTTAGAAAAATAATTGAGAACATTTTTTTTTTTTAAATTGAAAAAGAACCTTGTGAAAACGATCATTTGATAACAAAAAAGAAGGCAAACACTTAACTAAACCCATTTAACTTCTCTTAAACAACGTATATTCAAAGTACCCCCCCCCCCCAACAAAAAAAAAAAAAAGGAAAGGATGAAACTCTCCTCTAATAAGAGCGGTTGTGACTTTCAACTAAATTTATTATATTTTATGAAGTAAGTTCATAATGATAGGGTTGTCTTCCTTACCCAGCGTGGTCCTGAAGCCGTTGATGGCTTTACAAGTGGCCTTTCCGTTGCTGAACCCAATCTGTTCTCCATCTCGGTGCCAATCGTTGTTCTGTCACAGAAGTGGAGCACATACTTATGATTACATCTGGGATATTGATCAATGTTGGTGGTAAATTAGTTTTTTTTAAATCCCTAAAAACACACGTCGTGAACAGGCTTGGATTTTTCTTGGAGACTCACCTTGACAAAGTCCTCCACAACTAACATACACAATCAAACATAAAATTGGGTCATCATAAGTTTATGAATAAAGTAGAAATGTGTCTTGGCTGTTTAATATTTGGCATTAAATTTTGAAGTTTCAATTTGAGGTTAAGACGCGGTGAAAGTTTTGTAAAGAAGCGACCACATGTTAAGGCGCATTTATTCTCTTACACCTATTACACGTTGTGGTCGATCAAAGAAAAATTTAAAATTATTCATAGGAAACGTTAACTTAAGTTGTAGGCACATTTGCTACAGGAACTGTTTAGACTTTAAGTAACCGGAAAGAAAAATCGACTACTTTAAGGTAACAAGAACAGCAAGTTAGTAACAAACCATTCAAGCCCTACCTTAAGGTAGCTGGTACAGTAAGTAAATATCAGATAGTCAGTCCTCACCTCAGGGTAGCTGGTACAGTAAGTTAGTATGAACTATTCAGTCCTTACCTTAAGGTAGCTTGTACAGTAAGTTAGTAGCAACCATTCAAACCTTACCTTAAGGTAGCTGACACAGTAAGTTAGTATCAATCATTCAGTCCTTACCTTAAGGTAGCTGGTACAGTAAGTTAGTATCAACCATTCAGTCCTTACCTTAAGGTAGCTGGTACAGTAAGTTAGTATCAACCATTCAGTCATTACCTTAAGGTAGCTGGTAAAGTAAGTCAGTATCAACCATTCAGTCCTTACCTTAAGGTTGCTGGTACAGTAAGTTAGTATCAATCATTCAGTCCTTACCTTAGGTAGCTGCTACAGTAAGTTAGTATCAACCATTCAGTCCTTACCTTAAGGTAGCTGGTACAGTAAGTCAGTATCAACCATTCAGTCCTTACCTTAAGGTAGCTGGTACAGCCGGTGAGTATCTCATTAGCGTTGCAGGACACCTCGACCGCTTTGTCGTCTCCCACCTCGGACACGGCTGACCACCTGGTGACGCACGACAGCTGATGGTTTGTGGACGTCGATGTGGCCGTGCCCTCGTTCCTCAGACCGACGCTGGTGGTGGAGTGGGTCACGGCGACACTCGCGAATGGGTTGTGCTGGACCGGGAGTTGGATCTCACCTTAAGGAGAAACAAAATAAAATGAATTAAAATAAATTACAATAGAAAATTTTTTAATATTATTTTTCAAAACACGCCCTTTGATTTATATATTGCCAATAGAATAGAAACCACGAATGAAATAAATATTGTGAAGTATTTCAACTATACTTTTTGATTAAATAGAATTAAATGCATTATTCAATGTGTTTAAAATCTCCAGAATCCTACAAACTTATAATTTATATGTTGAAAATTCTCCTGACGAGATGAAGTTCCTTTCAAAATCTCAAAATTTCAAAATTTGAATTCAAACTTGGTAAATATATAAATGAAAGGATTGAAAGTGGAAGCCATCAGTTACTCACGTCCGTCTCCAGATATTTGCACATTGACCGTGGCGTCCGTCTTCCCCACAGAGAAAGATTGTATCTTGATAGGTTTGTTTTTGTAATACACGACCAGGTTGTAATCTCCCTGGAAACCCCTGACGGTGAAAGATGTTCCCGACGACAACGATCTGTTCAGATGCGTGCTCCATTCTTCTTTAGTCAGATGGAGGTAACGCACACCGGCTTTGTCCAGCTGTGGATAAAAATCACATTGTCCGAAAGTGACTAAGAAAACTTCACACAATTTTACAAATTTGTTTTCATGCACCAAACATTTTTAACACGAAGTGGCTAGTGTTTTTCAGAAAAATTCAATTGCCCATTATTATTTTTATGATTATTATAACCATTATATTCTGTATTCAAATAATTTTGAATGTTTACAACAATTAATTATTAAAATATATTATAGTGCAACAATTGGAAGCCTACTGAACTTAAGTATAACTTGGTGTGGTAATTCATCCTTGTTCATCAAACAACAGTTAAAAAGACTTATCTAGAAAGAAATCGAGCCATGTCGCTCAATCAAAACGACCTTCACTTAAATAATTATTTGATGCAATATGCATTGTAAAACTAAAAAAAAATAATAATCTTATGGATACATCCCAACTCTCTTTGTCACTGTTCATAGGATCATCGCCTAAAGCAGCGGTTCTCAACCTGTGGGTCGCGACCCCTTTGGGGGTCGCGGGACCCTTTTCCAGGGGTCGCCTAAGACCATCTGAAAACACATATCCTATCAGCTATGAAGTAGCAACGAAAATACTTGTGTGGCTGGGGGTCGCCACGACACGATCAACTCTGTTAATGGGTCGCGGCACTAGAAAGGTTGAGAACCACTGGCCTAAAGGGTGAACCATTCCCTCCAAGTTAGGCCCGAACGATATTAAGAATTTAACCCCCTCCCACCCCCCCCCCAAGATCTATCAGAATTTACCACCATGCTCCCACGGCTGTTATGCAGTCTAAATAATCGCTATGACAGTCAACAGCCAATATTGTCACTAAGGGAGTGAAGTTCCATGACGTCTGACAGCTGATTTTTGCGCTTGTCGAGTCCGTTAGATGTGTTTTGTTTAAAGGGTTCTACTTTAAAAGTGTTTTGTCTTGTTAAGAATGTTTGTCGATGGGCTGGCTGTTTTATATGTACAATGTAGTCACACACAAAATCTGTCGATTAATGTCGATCAATAAAATATTCTTATCTTAAAAACTCAACTCTCCAAAGTTCATCCTTTTAAAAAAAGTGAAGGATTCTTGAAATTGCTAATTCTTGGGAGGGGGGGGGGGGGAAGGGAAATTTTTAATTGACTTCCCCATCCCTTAATTGATGTACTTTTTTTTTTTATAAAAAATATTCTTATCTTAAAAACTCAACTCTCCAAAGTTCATCCTTTTAAAAAAAGTGAAGGATTCTTGAAATTGCTAATTCTTGGGAGGGGGGGGGGGTGAAGGGAAATTTTTAATTGACTTCCCCATCCCTTAATTGATGTACTTTTTTCTTTTATAATAAATGAGAGATAAAAAATGTTTTCCCTTGATCATGGAGTTTTTCCGAAAATGTATAATGTGCCGAAGATCCCAAAATCAGGACTTGGGCTTGTGTTTGGAGTAAGAGGATGTAGCTTTGAATGTGTATAATTATTTCCAGTGATTTTAATTGTTTTAAATGTTCAAGCCTGACGTTTGATCGCCTTATGAAGAGTAACCCACCGTGAATGAATTGCCGTGGACAAGGGCCATTTGGGGATCCATGCTGTGATCCCAGAATCCCCAGAAAATGATCCCTTCAACAGCCGGGTGACTGAAGTAAAGTCTCAGGGCTGTTTCATACCTGGGGAGAAAAAAAAATCAAGACAAGGACAGATATTAAAGGAACCATTAATTGCAAGTTTACTCATCAACGCCTTGGTGTGGATGACGAGGGGGTCTAAACTGAGTCGAGCCCAGGCTTCTGGACTGTAGTTTAATCACCAGCAAAATCCTTGACAAGAAAAAAAACCACCACCAGCCGCTATGAGAAGGAAAACTCTAAATTCAAACCCGTTGGTGGAGTCGCGTATGCGGCATGACATGAACACAATGAAAACTCCGGCAACTTCTTCGACGTGGAACGCACAAAGGGCACAGTGAGACGCAAGACACGCTGCTCGCTAGTCAGTTATTGCATGCTTGTCTTTTTTTATCCAGTGGTCTTGACTAGGTCTTACCATTGCAGCAAAGAGGCAGGGATGAGAGAGTGAGGCGGACGCATTGAGCAACGTACCCTCATTTTAAACAAAATACAGCTCAAGTCAAGTCTACCTCTCGACTCGAAACCTTTGTCATCTTCGCGTGCAAAGAACGAAAAATAATCAAATCAATGTGTATAAAAAGACACGAAATTCGAATCTAGGGCTTCGATATATAAGAATAAATTAAATTGCAATTTTAAAAGAGAATGCTTTTTTTTTTTTTTAACTATTGTTTTCTATAAAAGGGATTCTTAAACGGGTACTGCCCGCTACCCTTGGGTGGTCAGTGTCAGGGGAGTTTACATTTGTTATCAGAATTATTTTGTTTTAATCGAGAGGGGGTGTGGGAATATGTTTTTAAATTGAGATAGATTTCGGGAATATTTGGAAATTAAGAGGAGGGGCTGTTGCGTATTTTTTTTTTTAGTACATTGGAAACCGTGCAACAAAAATGTTTAAATAATATTTTGTTTACTCTTTTTTAGCTGGAGGGGGGGGGGGGGTTGGCACTGCACGCTCTGTATTTTGAGTAATAAATCATGCCACCGTTGTTGACGGTTTCATTATTCGTTTGGGTTAGAACTACGTGCGGGTCGGGTGCTTCCCAAAGGATGAACAAAATCTTGATAAGGAATCTTACTGACCAATCAGCACGCGTGTTCTCATCGGGGGCTGCCAGATCCAGTTCCGTTATCCATATCGGTATGCCAGGCTGTGCCAGGAGGTCCAAACGGTGCTGTCAATAAATCAAAACGCTTGCAGTGTAACTTTATACTTTTTAAGTCTAGGTTGAAGATTCTGTATATCTTCTACTCTAGGGAACACAAGTGTATGTCAATGTGCGTATTACGTCTGAGTGTGAAAGGAAACAGTAGATTCTCCACACTGAAAACTGTATGTGACTTCCCTTTTCCAAAGCAAAAAAAAAAAAAAATCATTTTGGAATTGCTTAGGTTAGAAAATTAGAAACAAAAAATTCCTTAAACATTTTCTTTATATTTTTTTTAAATCGGGCAACGTTTACAAAAATTATTCATGATTACAAATTTTTCAACTTTTTTTTTTTCCTAATAACTCTTGCTATAGTTACCAGTTAAGTTGATTCAAGAAATGAAATATATCAGCTCTGAAGATCAACCAAATGATTAAAATTATTTTTGTAATATCGACGAAGAAACGAAACAAAACCGATTTCACAAGTATTGGAAATCAATGACCTCCCCTCTTCCCCTTATTCCTCCTATGCCGCCCACGCCTCCTATGCCTCCCACGCCTCCTATGCCACCCACGCCTCCTATGCCACCCACGCCTCCTATGCCGCCCATGCCTCCTATGCCACCCACGCCTCCTATGCCGCCCACGCCTCCTATGCCACCCACGCCTCCTATGCCGCCACGAAGTCCACCCCCGTTAAGTGTCACCCGCGAAGTCTATCACGTCAAAGACATAACATGAATACAAGGCCAGAATGATTTACCTTCATGAGAGTTGGGTCAGGGGCTTCGAAGTGATGGAAATGACTCTGAACGCCAACACCCCCGAGACCGACATTTGCCGCCTTAAATTGTTTGATCTGTTCCAAGTAAGCCTGTGAGAATGAAGAGTTAAAAAAAAATAATTAAAACATTAAATTTGTACAGAGAGACACGACACATCACGATAACTTATTCAAAAAAGATAATTTTTTAATCTGACTTGCTGTCAGCGCTGACTGCTCTGATGACTCTGATAAATTTGACTGCTCTGACTACTCTGACTGCTTTGATTCCATTTGCTTCCCTGATAGCCTTGACTGCTCCGTCATTTTGATGACTCTAAGCCCTGACTGCTCTGACAGCACTGATTGCTATGACTGCTCTATCAGCACTGACGGCTCTGACAGTTCTGCGACTCTGATGGCTTAAACTGTTCCAACAGCTTTTACTGCTCTAACTGCATTGACTGCTCTGAAGACCCTTACTGCTCTGACAACTCTGACTGCCCTATAGAGACCGACCGAATTTCGGCTTCGGCATCGGTTTCGGCGCCGAAACTGGCCATTTTATCACTTTCGGCAAAGTTTCGGTTTCGACCGAAAGTGAAAAGTTAACTTTCAACTTAATTTCGGTTTCGGCCGAAAGAGGAAAGTTAACTTTCGGTTTTTCTTCGGTTTAGCCGAAATTGACTTAGACTTTCGGCCATCCGGCCGAAAGTGACTCAGGTTTTCGGTCATTTAATACTCAGCAAAAGCAATATTTAACAACAAACTCAGAGACATTTAAGAACAAATTAAGCGATCTTTGAGAACAAACAAAACGATATTTAACAACAAACTAAGCGACATTTAAGAACAAACTAAACTATCTTTAAAACAAACTAAGCGATCTTTAAGAACAATCTAAGCAATCTTTAATAACAAACTAAACGATCTTGAAGTACAAACTAAATGATTTTTAAGACCGAACTAAATGATCTTTAAAGAAAAAACGAATGTTCTTTAATAGTAGACTAAATGAATTATAAGAATAAACTAAGTGATCTTTAACAGAAAATTAAATGTTCTTTAGGAACAAACTAAACGATCTTTAAAACAAACTAAACGATCTTTAAGAACAATCTAAGCGATCTTTAATAACAATTTAAACGATCTAAAGTACAAACTAAACGATTTTTAAGACCAAACAAAATGATCTTTAAAGAAAAAACGAATGTTCTTTAATAGTAGACTAAATGAATTATAAGAATAAACTAAGTGATCTTTAACAGAAAATTAAATGTTCTTTAGGAACAAACTAAAAGATCTTTAAGAACAAACTAAGCGATCTATATCAAAACACTAAGCAATCTTTATGAAAACACTAAGCGATCTTTAACAAAAAACTAAGCAACCTTTAACAGCAAACTAAGTGATCTTTATTATCAAACTAAACGATCTTTAAGAACAAATAAATCGATCTTTAACAAAAACTGGAGATCTTTAACAAACTAAGCGATCTTTAACAACAAACTAAATGATCTTTAACAACAAAAAATACGAACTTTAAATAAGCACTGTTTAACAACAAACTAAACGATCTTTAACAACAAACTAGCGATCTTTAACAACAAACTAAGCGATCTTTAACAACAAACTTAACGATCTTTAACAACAAACTAAGCAATCTTTAATAAACAAACTAAACGATCTTTAACAACAAGCTAAGCGATCTTTAATAACAAACTAAGCGCTCTTTAACAACTAACTAAACGATCTTCAACAACAAACTAAGCGATCTTTAATAGAAAATTAAATGTTCTTTACAAACAAACTAATCGATCTTAAGGAATAAAATCAATGATCTTTAATAACAAACTAAGCGATCTTTATGAAAACACTAAACGATCTTTAACAACAATCTATGCGATCTTTAACAGCAAACTAAGCGATCTTTATGATCAAACTAAACGATCTTTAAGAACAAATAAATCGATCATTTACAAAAACTGGAGAACTTTAACAAACTAAGGGATCTTTAAGAACAAGCTAAACGATCTTTAACTACAAACTAAACGATTTTAAAAACAAACAATACGATCTTTAAAAACAAACTACTCGATCTTAATAAACAAACTAAACGATATTTAAGAACAAAAAAAGTGATCATTAACAAAAACTGGACGATCTTTAACAGCAAACTAAGCGATCTTTAACAACAAACTAAGCGCTCTTTAACAACAAACTAAACGATCTTTAACAACAAACTAAGCGATCTTTAAGAACAAACTAAGCGATCTGTAATAACAAATAAAGCAATCATTAACAAAAACTGGAGATGTTTAACAAACTAAACGATCTTCAACAACAAACTAAGCGATCTTTAACAGAAAATTAAATGTTCTTTAGGAACAAACTAAAAGATCTTTAAGAACAAACTAATCGATCTTAAGGTATATAATCAATTATCTTTAAGAACAAACTAAGCGATCTTTATGAAAACACTAAGCGATCTTTAACAACAAACTAATCGATCTTTAACAGCAAACTAAGCGATCTTTATGATCAAACTAAATGATCTTTAAAAAAAAAAAATCGATCATTAACAAAAACTGGCGATCTTTAACAAACTAAGCAATCTTTAAGAACAAACTACACGATCTTTAAACACAAACTAAACGATCTTTAACAACAAAATAGTTGATCTTTAACAACAAACGATACGATCTTTAACAACAAACTATACGATCTTAATGATCAATCTAAACGATCTTTAAGAACAAAAAAAGTGATCATTAACAAAAACTGGACGATCTTTAACAAAAAACTAAGCGATCTTTAACAACAAACTAAGCGCTCTTCAACAACAAACTAAACGATCTTTAACAACAAACTAAACGATCTTTAACAACAAACAATACGATCTTTAAAAAAAAAACTACACAATCTTTATGAACAAACTAAACGATCTTTCAGAACAAAAAAGTGATCATTAACAAAAACTGGGCGATCTTTAACGACAAACTAAGCGATCTTTAACAACAAACTAAGCAATCTTTAAAAGCAATCTAAACGATCTTTAACAACAAACTAAGCGCTCTTTAATAACAAACTAAACGATCTTCAACAACTAACTTAACGATCTATAACAACAAACTTAACGATCTTTAACAACAAACTATATGATCTTTAACAACAAACTTAACGATCTTTAACAACAAACTAAGCGATCTTTAACATCAAACTAAGCGATCTTTAACAACAAACTAAGCGATCTTTAACAACAAACTAGCGATCTTTAACAACAAACTAAGCACTCTTTAACAACAAACTAAACGATCTTTAAGAACAAACTGAACGATCTTTAACAACAAACTAAAAGATTTTTAACAACAAACTAAACGATCTTTAACAACTAACTTAACGATCTTTAACAACAAACTATACGATCTTTAACAACAAACTTAACGATCTTGAATAACAAACTAAAGAATCTTTAACAACAAACTAAGCGATCTTTAACAACAAACTTAACGATCTTTAGCAACAAACTAAACGATCTTTAACAACAAACTATACGATCTTTAAGAACAAACTGAATGATCTTTAACAACAAACTAAGCGCTCTTTAACAACAATCTAAACGAACTTTAACAACAAACTAAACGATCTTTGACAGCATACAATACGATCTTTAACAACACACTATACGATCTTTAAGAATAAACTAAACGATCTTTAATAACAAACTAAACGATCTTTAACAACAAAGTAAGCGCTCTTTAATAACAAACTAAGCACTCTTTAACATCAAACTAAACGATCTTTAACAACAAACTAAACGATCTTCAACAACTAACTTAACGATCTATAACAACAAACTTAACGATCTTTAACAACAAACTATACGATCTTTAACAACAAACTTAACGATCTTGAACAACAAACTAAACGATCTTTAACAACAAACTAAACGATCTTTAACAACAAACTAAGCGATCTTTAACAACAAACTTAACGATCTTTAGTAACAAACTAAACGATCTTTAACAACAAACTAAACGATCTTTAACAACAAACTAAGCGATCTTTAACATCAAACTAAGCGATCTTTAACAACAAACTAAGCGATCTTTAACAACAAACTAAGCGCTCTTTAACAAAAAAACTATTCGATCTTTAAAAACAAACTATACGATCTTTAAGAACAAACTGAATGATCTTTAACAACAAACTATGCGCTCTTTAACAACAATCTAAACGATCTTTAACAACAAACTAAACGATCTTTGACAGCATACAATACGATCTTTAAAAAGACACTATACAATCTTTAAGAATACACTAAACGATCTTTAATAACAAACTAAACGATCTGTAATAACAAATAAAGCAATCATTAACAAAAACTGGAGATCTTTAAAAAACTAAAGGATCTTTAAGAACAAACTAAACGATCTTTAACAACAAATTAAACGATCTTTAAGAACAAAGTAAACGATCTTTAACAACAAACTATACGATCTTTAACAACAAAATAAGCGATCTTTAATAAACAAACTAAACGATCTTTAAAAAAAATTAAGCGATCTTTAAAAACAAACTAAACGATCTTCAACAACAAACTAAGCGATCTTAAACAGAAAATTAAATGTTCTTTAGGAACAAACTAAAAGATCTTTAAGAACAAACTAATCGATCTTAAGGTTTATAATCAATTATCTTTAAGAACAAACTAAGCGATCTTTATGAAAACACTAAGCGATCTTTAACAACAAACTAATCGATCTTTAACAGCAAAATAAACGATCTTTATGATCAAACTAAACGATCTTTAAGAACAAATAAATCGATCATTAACAAAAACTGGAAATCTTTAACAAACTAAGCGATCTTTAAGAACAAACTACATGATCTTTAACAACAAACAAAACGATCTTTAACAACAAACTAAGCGATCTTTAACAACAAACTAAGCGATCTTTAACAACAAACTAAGCGATCTTTAACAACAAACTAAGCGATCTTTAACAACAACTAAAACGATCTTTAACAACAAACTAAACGATCTGTAACAACAAACTAAGCGCTCTTTAACAACAAACTAAACGATCTTTAGCAACAAACTAAACTATCTTTAACAACAAACTAAGCTATCTTTAAAAGAAAACTAAACGGTCTTTAACAACAAACTATACGATCTTTAACAACAAACTAAACTATCTTTAACAACAAACAAAGCGATCTTTAAGAGCGAAGTAAACGGTCTTTAAGAACAAACTAAGCGATCTTTAACAACAAACTAAATGATCTTTAACAAAAAACTATACGATCTTTAACAACAAACTAAACACTCTTTAACAACAAACTAAACTATCTTTAACAACAAACTGAGTGCTCTTTAAGAACAAACTAAACGATCTTCAACAACAAACTAAGCGATCTTTAACAGAAAATTAAATGTTCTTTAGGAACAAACTAAAAGATCTTTAGGAACAAACTAATCGATCTTTAACAACAAACTAAATGATCTTTAACCACAAACTATAAGATCTTTAAAAACAAACTAAACGATATTTAAAACCAAACTAGAGGATCTTTAAGAACAAACTGAACGGTCTTTAACAACAAACTAAGCGCTCTTTAACAACAATCTAAACGATCTTTAACAACAAACTAAACGATCTTTGACAGCATACAATACGATCTTTAACAACACACTACACGATCTTTAAGAATAAACTAAACGATCTTTAATAACAAACTAAACGATCTGTAATAACAAATAAAGCAATCATTAACAAAAACTGGAGATCTCTAACAAACTAAACGATCTTTAAGAACAAACTAAACGATCTTTAACAACAAACTAAACGATCTTTAAGAACAAAGTAAACGATCTTTAACAACAAACTATACGATCTTTAACAACAAACTAAGCGATCTTTAAAAACAAACTAAACGATCTTCAACAACAAACTAAGCGATCTTTAACAGAAAATTAAATGTTCTTTAGGAACAAACTAAAAGATCTTTAAGAACAAACTAATCGATCTTAAGGTATATAATCAATTATCTTTAAGAACAAACTAAGCGATCTTTATGAAAACACTAAGCGATCTTTAACAACAAACTAAGCAATTTTTAAGAACAAACTACGCGATCTTTAACAACAAACTAAACGATCTTTAAAAACAAACTATACGATCTTTAAGAACAAACATAATGATCTTTAACAACAAACTAAGCGATCTTTAAGAGCAAAGTAAACGGTCTTTAAGAACAAACTAAGCGATCTTTAATAAAAAAAACTTAACGATTTTCAACAACAAACTAAGCAATCTTTAGCAACAAACTAAGTGCTCTTTAACAACAAACTAAGCACTCTTTAACAACAAACTAAATGATCTTTAACAAAAAACTATACGATATTTAATAACAAACTAAACGATCTTTAACAACAAACTAGACGATCTTTAAGAACAAACTGAACGATCTTTAACAACAAACTAAGCGCTCTTTAACGACAAACTAAACGATCTTTAACAACAAACTAAACGATCTTTAACAACAAACTAAACGATCTTTAACAACAAACTAAACGATCTTTAACAACAAACTATACGATCTTTAACAACTAACTAAACGATCTTTAATAACAAACTAAGCAATCTTTAACAGCAAACTAAGCAATCTTTAAGAACAAACTAAGCGATCTTTAAGAACAAACTATACGATGTTTAACAACAAACTAAACGATCTTTAATAACAAACTAAACGATCTTTAACAACAAACTAAGCGATCTTTAACAACAAACTAAGCGATCTTTAACAACAAACTAAGCGATCTTTAACAACAATTTAAACGATCTTTAACAACAAACTACACGATCTTTAACCACAAACTACACGATCTTTAAGAACAAATTAAGCGATCTTTAAGATGAAACTAAGTTATATTTTAGAACAAACTAAGCGATCTTTATGAACAAACTCACCGATATTTAAGAACAAACTAACCGATCAATAACAACCAACTAAACAATCTTTAAAAACAAATTAAACGATCTTTTAGAACCACAATTTTTAGAGTCCCAGTTTAAAAATAATATTTGCATTAATTCCCCCCCCCCCCCCCATTTTTGCCAAATTTTCTCCTACCATATTAATTTTTTTAAACTTGTATAGCAATTTAAATTACTTTTAAATTAAAATTGTAACATCCTAAGTATTCATTAGATCAAGGTCTCAAACTCAAATCATCGGGGGTGGGTGGCGCAGGAGGTAGTGTCTGAATGAGAGTGGGCCGCATCAAGTAATCCACGAAAACGCGATTACAACTACTGTTACAATCTGCTCAACCTTTATAAATAACAATAAAATCATTAAGGGTTCTCAAGAACTAGGATTCACTTTCATACACCTCCTCACTGTTCCATACAACAATATATTAAAAAATAATCAGAATTAGACTAGTCGGTGAGATTCGACTGAAACCGTCGCGGAGAGTCACGTTATAGATATGAGAATGGGGGAAACGGGCCGACGCATTTACACTAAATCTTTTCGTCATGTAGCGGGCCAAAAAATATCGTCTTGCGGGTCACAAATGGCTCGCGGGCCACGAGTTTGAGACCCCTATATTAGATGTTTATTTATTGATATTCACGATTATCTCATTTTTTATAAAAGAATGTAAATATTTATACTTTCCCACATTGTTTTCGATGTATGCAGAATGTATGCGGGAACGAATATCAAAATATCTTAATATTTCATTTTCGGTTTCGGCTTCGGTTTCGGCCGAAATTCATTTTTAAACTTTCGACCCTTTTTTCGGTTTCGGCTGAAAGTCATTTTAAACTTTCGGCCTAATTTCGGCTTCGGCTGAAATCAGAAAATCACTTTCGGTCGGTCTCTACTGCCCTAACTACTCTGACATCTCTGATGGTTTATTCCTCTGACTGCCCTGAAAGCCTTGCCTGCTCGGATGACTGATTGCTCCTCTTACTTCCCCAACCACCTTGACTGCTCTGACAGCTCAGATGACTCTAACTGGCCTGAAAGCCCTGACTGCACTGACAGAACAAACTGCTCTTACACTGCCGTGACTGCTCCATAAGTATTGACTGCCCTGACACCACTGACTGCTCGTCAGCTCTAACTACTTTGACAGCTCTGGTGGATCTTACTGCCCTGACAGCTGTGACTGCTCTGACAGCTGTGACTGCTCTGACAGCACTGGCTGCTCTGACAGCTCTGATGACTGATGACTGTGATGGCTCTGAGGTCCCTGTCTGCTCTGACAGCCCTGACTATTCTCGCAGCCCTGATGGCTCTGACAGTCCTGACTGCTCTGGCGGCTCTTTGAGTATATGACTGGTATCAATGGATTATATTAGTGCAGTGGATCAATGTATAGGATCACAGGATTGGATCAACGTATTTGATCATTGGATTACACTTACTTCTTTTGGTGTCTTAAGGCTTTATTTGAGCAGAAACTTTAAACTTACACCTTCTTCTTCTTCTCCTATATATTAAGGGCCCACGATAAATTTATTGATAATTTTGGCTCCTATGCATGTAGAGGGGATTTGCAATGTTTCTGTGCCTAGTGTTGATGAGGACATTTCACTGATTTCCAGTGCCACTTTGTGAGGGAATCATGCACTTGGGGTTTGAAGGCTTGTTCATATTAATGTCCCTTCTCAAGTTCTGCGGCCGTGTGTGTGTGAGTCGTGCAAAAAGTCTGCCCTGAAACAGTCGTCATCACCACAACAGTCAACATGCTAGGCTTTTTTCTGTTTAAAACCGGACTGTACAGTGCGACTTAAACAAAATTACCAAAATGTGATGTCCTCACTGGGCGAGACAACAATGTGTGCACTCTGAAAGTCTTGAGAAACTTAATGACCTAAATGTGTCGATAAGTTTGAACATCTTAGCTATTCCTATAGGCTGCGCGTATGACGCACGTGTGCTACTGATGTTAGCCCGAACGATCAGTTTAGAAAAGTGTGATACCATGACTGTGTGAACGTACCAAAGTGAAATCCCCGCTGACCACGACGTTGTAGTCATTGAGGAAAAGTCTCGGCGTGGGGTCAGCTGCGTGCACGGCCTGGAACATGTGGTACGTGTAGTGCTGGTCGCCAGTCTTGGACTCAAAGAAATGGCCGTGGAGAAGCTCGTTGTCCACATCCCAATGCGACAGTCTGGCGGGGGAGACAGAGCAACGTTGGTGTTGATAAGTTGTTTTTATTAGATGGACACAAACAAAATAATGGACAATGAAAAACTAAACTTTGACATTGTGGATCAGATGTGTGTCATATTTTTTATTGCAACATTTTAGAGTTTATATTCTACGTATACATTAAACGATGTTTCTTTTACTGTTGTTGGTGTTGCTTAAATGTGATAGAAGATGAAGTAAAAGAGAGAGGGGATTTTGTTTTAGTCGTGAAGGGATCACTCACATAATCTACGAACTGACAAGAGAAACAACGGCAGATTGAAATATCGTAGGCATGATTACTATTTAAGTTAAGTAGCTTTTCATAAAAAAACAAAACTTATTATTGTTATAAAGGTAGCTTTAAATAATTTATTTAAAAAAACTAAAAACAACAAGACATCAATGTATACAAATAAATGTTGGAAGTCCGAAATGAAGTACGCAATAATTTCCATGTACAACTTTTTTTAATAATTTCATTAGCTAGAGCTTTTTATTATTATTATTTTTTTTATTTTTTTTGGCTCTGACAAGAGACCTAACTACGTCTTGTTTTTTTTTGTTGTTTTTTTATTAACACAGACTTACTTCCCCTTAGTGATTCCAGTGATGTACTTGATGTGTTGGTCAACTGTATCTTTCAGGGCTTGACCAGTCATTGGTGTTGCATAGCTTGGCTGATTTCCGGGTACTGCCCAGAACATACAGTGACCACGTACATGTAATCTGGGCCATGGAGGTTAAAAAATAAAACTGCGTTGAGTATGCATTTAAAACTAAATTAAATCAATATTTTAAAAGGGCTTTTTGGCACTAATATTAGAAGAATTATTTACTGAATACACTGCTGCATTTCCTATCCAAATCTTCGAATATACTGCTACATCTCCAACCCCTATTTTCTAATAAACTGCAATATTTCCTACCCATGTTTCCTAAGTTCATCAGTTGCCGCCACTGCGACTGAAAAATCTGGATGCTCCTATAAATTACATACAATTTTTTAACATTATTATGAGAACAAGATAATATTTTATAACATCCTTTTTAAAGCAAGTATCTAAAAAAAAAATTAGGATGATTACATTTTTTTTAAAGTTATTATAATTAAAACATTCTTTTGAAGAAGTGCTACAGAGATTCAACATAAAAGTTTTTTTTTTTTTTTTGTTGTTTTTGATGTTTCGGCTCACCCTGGTTCCCCTTTTGTACGGCCACTTTTATTAAAAAAAAAAATTAGTATTATTAATTTTTTTTTAAAGTTATTATAATTAAAAAATTCTTTTGAAGAAGTGATACAGAGATTCAACATAAAAGTTTTTTTTTTTTTTTTGTTGTTGTTGATGTGTCGGCTCACCCTGGTTCCCCTGTTGTACGGCCACTTGTATTCCTGGATGGTGACCCAGTTAAACATGTGGTACAGGACGTTCTGAAACTGACGGTAGTCGGGGCTCACGATGTAGTCCGCGGTCGCTTGAGTGCCGAAGGCGAACAGATGCTTGGTGTGGTCAATCTGACCAGTGTTAAACAAGAAAATGTATTTGTTTGAATTTTGTCTCACAAGATCCAACAAGGGAGAGGTTAGCTCATGACAGATACACATGGGAAAGCTTGTAGCACCAGAAGTGGAAGCCTTGAGACGGGGTGCGGGAGGAGGAGTTACAGCTTAATGAACATGAAGATGTAAGATTACTGTTCAATGTAGCCTAAGATTACTATTCAATATAGTGCACGATTACTATAAAGAGGGATGTAAGATTACAATTCAATGGAACGTAAGATTAATATTCAATGGGATTTAAGATTACATTTCAATGGAACGTAAGATCAATATTCAATGGCATGTAAGAATACTATTCAAAGGGATACAAGATTAGTAATCAATGGCATGTAAGATTGCTATTAAATGGCATGTAAGATTACTATTAAATGGGATGTAAGATTACTATTAAATGGGATGTAAGATTACTATTAAATGGGATGTAAGATTACTATTAAATGGGATGTAAGATTACTATTAAATGGGATGTAAGATTACTATTAAATGGGATGTAAGATTACTATTAAATGGGATGTAAGATTACTATTAAATGGGATGTAAGATTACTATTAAATGGGATGTAAGATTACTATTAAATGGGATGTAAGATTACTATTAAATGGGATGTAAGATTACTATTAAATGGGATGTAAGATTACTATTAAATGGCATGTAAGATTACTATTCAATGGGATGTAAGATTACTATTAAATGGGATGTAAGATTACTATTCAATGGCATGTAAGATTACTATTCAATGGAATGAAAAATACGATTTTTTATTAAAACATTGAGTCAACAAATATTTGAAAGTCGACGTCATCGATGTACGTCCTCTCTAAACGATTTCCCAATAGCTGCTTGCAAAAAATCGTAAAACATTATTGTTATGTTTAAATTGCACATCAGCCCCTCAATGAATTGCTATGTAAGACTCGAACAAAGAGATTTAATCCATGGAGGATTTCTAAAAAAAATAATAATTAAAAGACAAAAGATTTCAGACTTTCTTGGAAAGCGTCCCCCTCAACCGCTGGAGTCAACTACTTTTTGTTTAGACTTAAATTAGAATAGAAACTATTTTTACCCTCAAGGTGACTTTAAGACCTACAAGGACTTCTAGTTAAGATGTTCATCAACTTATAGACTAGAAGTTGTTCTTTTTTAAAACAATGACTTTTGTTTCGTAAATAAATATCCCCTAGTCTTACCGGATGTTGAACCATGACGTACCTGCACTCTGAGGTCGTTGACGTTGAAGTTTGAAGCTACGTTGAAACTGTGGATGTGAAGTCAAATCTGGTTTTATTTTCAAAGAAATAATTTCTGCTTTTACATATTTTAAAGAAAATGTTCCATCTAATTCATCCCCATCTTTTGTGTTGGTCTTTTTATTTTGTTTAAATCCCGTCTGTGCATTGGTTCGATTTCATTTTTTTTTTCCTTCTTTTTTTTTTTAAAAAGAGTTTGATTTAGTAAGGCAATATTAAAGATTTTTTTTTTTATTTGAAAAATATATATATTTTTTTTAAATTGATATTGTTTTTGTTCAATTTTTGAAATCCTGAAAATTTTGAAATTAACCCTGTCCACATTGGGTCTCATATTAGATGAAATAAAACCTTGTCTTGCTTGAAATGAATGTTTTTAAAATAACCCCCGTGTACATTGTCCCCACCATTTAGATCTCATAGACTTGTCTCACTTGAAGTGAATGTTTTACTTGTCTCACTTGAAGTGAATGTTTTACTTGTCTCACTTGAAGTGAATGTTTTAATTGTCTCACTTGAAGTGAATGTTGCTCTTCCTGAGAGAGTCGATCCTGCTGTTGGCCTCCGCCTTCCAATTGGTGTCTGCGGCTACTTCCATCAGCGACGCGTCATCAACGTAAAAGTCGACGTGCGGGGCCAGGCCTTCGACGTAGATCTTAGCCTGGGTGTATTCTTGGACAGACGGACATGGACAGATTTTGTTAATGATCAAAATGTAATTTACTTTGGATATAGATTATGGCTTTGGACATTTCAAACAAAACGAAAATCTTGGAGACTTTGAGAAACTTTTTCGACCACTACACCACGTGCTTTAACAGGGCCGGGGGTTGGAAGGGGGGGGAAGGGCGCATAACCCCATGATGTGAGACAATTTATTAATTTTACAAATCGTTAATCATTACCTCGGTTCGGCACAACAAAATCTGCTCCTAGGTGCACCCATCCATCGGCAGCGGTCAAGAAGGGTCGACTAGTTATACGAATGTATTCGTCCACTCCTGTAGAGGGTAAATTAAAATGACATGGCCAGATGAAAACCATTTCTATCAGCACTTAGCATTTTTTTAAAAACTACTGTTTATCTTTGAAATCAGTAAACGAAAGGTGCGATATTTGTGTCTATATTTACTAATTTCCCATTCTATATGCAAATAAACTTCAAAAACAAACACATTAAAACCATCATCGATAAAAGGGCTCTGTTACCCTAGCTGCTAATAATCTCTCCACAAAAGACATCGTTAGAGCACCGTACAACAAACACGACTGCACACATCGCTTCAATCACAACAAAAAGAGCGCGCTTTGAAAAGTTTCACACACTGATTGCAACACAAAATCTATCATCGACCTCTTGATCTCTACCACACGCCCACCGTCACAAACAAATATATATTTCAAAACCAACCCCCCCCCAAAAAAAAAAACACAAAAAAACTCATGCATAATTAATACTGACCATTGTCCTTTCGTTTTAAGTCAATAGTGACTCCAGCTGACTGGTACATAGAGCCTGGCAGGTCACTGACCAAACGAATGTAAATACTGAAGGCGTAACGGCCACCAGATTTAACGTTAACCATCTGTGCCGGACCTTGATAGGCTTGAGTTCTGTTAAAATAAAAAATAACTAGGGCTGAACCGGGTCCAGTTTTTTGGTGGTGTTCTTTTTTACTGGGTCCGGTTATTTTGAGAAAATACCCTCTGGGTTCAATTGTTACAAAAACAAAAAATGAATTAACTTCTCATTTTCTCTAAAAAAAATAGGCCCCCAAAGACAGTCCTGCACCCTACCTGCCGGCCTTTAAAACTGGCCTACAGACAGTCCTGCACCCTACCTGCCGGCCTTTAAAACTGGCCTACAGACAGTCCTGCACCTTACCTGCCGGCCTTTAAAACTGGCCTACAGACAGTCCTGCACCTTACCTGCCGGCCTTTAAAACTAGCCTACAGACAGTCCTGCACCTTACCTGCCGGCATTTAAAACTGGCCTACAGACAGTCCTGCACCTTCCCTGCCGGCCTTAAACACTGACCTACAAGCACCCTACCTGCCGGCCTTTAAAACTGGCCTACAGACAGTCCTGCACCTTACCTGCCGGCCTTTAAAACTGGCCTACAGACAGTCCTGCACCTTACCTGCCGGCCTTTAAAACTGGCCTACAGACAGTCCTGCACCTTACCTGCCGGCATTTAAAACTGGCCTACAGACAGTCCTGCACCTTACCTGCCGGCCTTTAAAACTGGCCTACAGACAGTCCTGCACCTTACCTGCGGCCTTTAAACAAAGGCCTACAGACAGTCCTGCACCTTACCTGCTGGCCTTTAAACAATAGGCCTACAGAAAATCCTACAGACAGTCCCACAGCTAGTCCTACAGACAATCCAACAGACCGTCCCATGACTCTTTATTGATTAATATACATGTAGCCGAGTTTAAAGTTATAGTAACTAGGAAATGCAGGTCTTGGGAGCTATAGCGTTATTGAACCATCAACGTGTGGTCGACACATTTCGCACAGAGAGTCAAATCTCAATAAAACACGTCTAGAAGTCCTCAAGTAGCAGTTGACGCACATCAAGTCTCAGTTCACACACATCAAGTCTCAGTTCACACACTCAGTATCAGACCACTTTCCTTGAGTTAACTTACCCGCCTTTCATACATCCCCACACCGTGAACTCATGACGTCAGCGTCGTGAGTTGTTGATTGGTCACCCGTAGGACAGGCGTGCCCTGTTTCATCGGGTGTGAACACGCCTGGGAGGGAGGGGAGGGGGGGGGGGTTAAACACTCCTAACACAGGGGCTTGCTCCTTTGTCCCACAGGTGACACACTACCACATATGAAATGTTACAGAAATGCACAAACCCTAGCTACACCATTGCATACAAGGTTATAGCTTTGTAAGTTCTATTTATATCCCTACATTCAATGAACTTACTCTTGATCGTCATATTTACCAACAAAAACTAATTTTTTTTTAAAGACGTTTTCCGTTAATTTCCGACGCAATTTTTTAGATATAAGATAAACTGACCTTCCCGTGCACTTGCCAGAATGTGTGCCGCTATGATGCTGTGACGTATCGGCGGTCATTGTGAAACCAGCATGGACCCAGTTTGCGAGGCCACTCTCAAAACCAGGATTCGGTAGCAGTTCCGGGGCGGAATGGGCACCCCACACCAATATGGAGGCTACCCCTAAGTAATATTTCAATCTCATCCTCCCCAAACAGACACGTTTCACAAATTAACTCTGGTGGAAGAAAAACAACTGTTTTATACGGACGTTTGGAATTCTAACGCTTGGGTTTAGAGATTATGCCACAATGTGCAAGACTGCGAAGAAGCTTCAAAGCCAAATAAATCGTATCTTATCAGTTAAAAAATACAATCTGGGTCAAAGTTCAAATTTAAATTTTGCTCTATTTTAACCAATCAAATAAGGAGCAAACCACAAATTTTAAAATGAAATGTTTGATGAGAGTAGTGTTGGTTGACAGTCCTTAGTTGTTATATGTTCATTTGGGAAATGGCGTCGGCGGGCCGTCGAACGTGAGCTCCTAATACCCTCCCCGACACACCTCAACACAGCCCAGACGCCTGGTCTCCCTGACGCCGGACCGTGCTGCGGCAAGCCAGGGACATCCTTGGACCATGGACCACCCCCACTTGCAACCGCTCGATCGGATTTGTGGATGGAAGCTTTCCCCGCCCGGGGACGTCCGGTCGATCAAAAACGCTGCGTTTAAAGCGTTCGCAGCCGACTCTCCCGGGGAGTCGAGGTTGTAAATGTACGTCCTAATATCTTCCCCCAAACATCCCAAACAAGCGTCGGACACCCTATTAGAGGGTTTTAACACTGGGTTTCCAGCACGCAACTAGTGTTTGAAGTAGCTGGGACGAAACGGTTGCCTAGGGGCAGCTTTCTCAGGGCCGCGTAGATAGAATCATCGGTTAGTTTCCACCTTCACCTCTAGCCTTATATCCATTACCGGGATTAGTTGTTATAAGATAATCAGATTGTTCTCTACATCACTTGTTGACTTTAAACGATAAGGCTTCAAACTTCCTAGTGGTCATCTTGTAATTGGACAAACATTTCACCCAACTTTAAACATATGTTCAATAGACTATTCACTTAAATACGACCTTCACTTACTCTATAATTAAAAAGAAATTAAATGTAAATCACCAGAATATTACACCTAAAAGTGAAGTTTAGCGTCTACTTACGGCAGGGGCTCCCAACCAGGGGTGTGCCACACCCCCGTGGGTGTGGCGGACGCAGTTCCAGGGGAGCGCGGAAAGAAACTGAAAAACAGACTTATTGCATTTTTATTAGAGTTTTCAATCGTGATGGGTGCAGGAAATATGTTTTGAAGTCAAAAGAGGTGGCGCCGCTGCTTGTCTTGTCTGGTGGAATAAATTTTAATCCTGTGCGGAACAACCCACCTCCAATCCGGGCAAAAACGTTTCTCCCAATTGATCTCAGGGCATGAGTTGACATTTCAGTTGCCAGATTATACTAAGAGCTCCGAAAGTATACCCCAGTCGGAGTAGCAAACATACACACACAATTGTTTACATATGTTTTTTAAAAATAAAAATGATTGGCTCCCCACCTCCCTTACGGTCTCTCAGTTGGCAAGGTGTGATGAACTTATGTTCAACTAGTTCAAAATCATGTTCACGTAACTATGTACAAGTCATCGGAGATAAGCAGAATTATCATTGTAAACAACTTTCTGCCCCAAAAAAGATTTTTCAAGTACGATCCTTAGTCCGTTTACTGTTTAACTAACCAACCATTCCAGATAAAATTGATGCACTTTTTTTAGTTTAAAAAAAAAATTTAAAAAATCAGAATCGTCTGTACACGATTTATACGACCACTTGGGTCTGTTATGATCTTTTGAACATAGACGGATATTTATACGAAAGAAATATGTACGAAATAAACGAACGGAATTTTATTTACCTTTAAAATGTTTTTAGTAAGAAATTGGAAAAAAAAAACTTTTTAATACATTTTATTTTTTCTTCCCCCCCCCCTCCCTCAACCTACATTAATTCTTTTGGAACAAACTTCCGTTCGAACAATTTTCCTTCGGAAAAAAAACTGTTGTTCTAAATTTACGGTAACCAGCAACCACTTCCTTTGAGTAGGACTCCCTTGTAACCATTTGTGCTCATTATTTGGCTCGAAATTCACTTGGGGAAATAAACAGGTACTAACTACAGTGTGAAAATTCCAGTTAAAAAAAGGACAAGAAAACTTACAGAGTAGTGGGATCAAAACAATTGAATATTCTTTGGCTTCATAAAGTAGTTGTAATTTTGGCAGTAATTTATAAGGATCTTTCTCTGGCTTGCTTTAAACAATTTTTTTTAATAATGACCGCATTACTGATCAGGTTGAGGAGAGCAGAGTTAGGTAAGTATGAGCCCCCCCCCCCCCTTTTCCACCTTCCTTGCCCAAACTTCCTTGCCCAACCTTCCTCTCCCACCCTACCTTGCCCAACCTTCCTTGCCCAACTTTCCTGGCCCATTCTTCCAGACGCCAATTAGTGAACTATGTCTATCTCTATCCCAGTACTTATAAAGTCCAATACTCGAAGGTCGAGATTCTATCTCTTAGGACCTTTGGCCGTGAAACATAGCCTAGTAGTCCTTGGGGACTCCGGCCATGCAACTCAGCCCAGAGTGATGTTGGGTTGGAACAGCTTTGCTTCCTCTCCGGAGATGACGTTGCGTTGCCACCTCCACCGCCCGGGAGCTGTACGTTTTTCCTGGTATGGGACGGCTTTGCTTCCACTCCGGAGATGACGTTGCGTTGCCACCTCCACCGCCCGGGAGCTGTACGTTTTCCTTGGTATGGGACGGCTTTGCTTCCACTCCGGGAGTAGTCACGAGCTTAACTTTCTCCCACCGTTCCTAAGAGTTGTGCGAGCAAGTTTGGTTCCCAACGAATTGTTTCCCCCCGGTGAGGCGTTGCGTTGCCTCAAACCCGCGTTTCTCCGGGAGCGTTTCGGACAGGACTGTGAAGGGTAAAAACGGCTTTTACTTCCTCTCCGGGGGAGGTGTTGCGTTACCTCAACCCACCGTTCTGGGAGTTGTTCGGGCTGGACATGGCGAGGACGAAACGGTCGCCTAGGGGCGGCTTTCTCAGGGCCGCGTCTTTTTAATCATTGACAAGGGTTTGGCCGGCCACCCACTGCCTCATACCCTTCACCGGCAACACGTAATCATGTTAGCGCTTAAATTTCCGTTGCGTTGGAAATCATGCGTTTTGCCTGGGATCTTTTAGCTTCACAAGGAGAAGAACTCCCCCTTACTAGTCAGGTACGCCACGGAGAGGCAAGATCCCGTGTAACACCACCGAGAGCTTGTGGTGCTGGGTAAGGATTTTCCAAAGGTCCACCCTAAACCCACCAGCTATCCCAGTACTAATAAGCCCGCTTAGCACAAGCTGTTGGCGTCATCTTATCGTATGCCTTCTAACCACTGCTAACCACTGGCACGCGCACATGAGAAAAGGTGGAGTGGGCCCACCCCTGGTCATGACAACATCGCTGGAAGCGTTCCTTAAGATGTCTTTAGTGCCAATAATTTTTAGTCATCCAGGCAACACTTAGAGCAACAATGAAATCCGGAACTTGACCAACAACTAGTTGTTTTCCACAAATAACACCTAAATTTTACAGACAAAAACAAGGGGGTCTGGCATCAGGGTCGTGGAAAAATGAAAGGCGGAGAAAAGGGTGAGCGTGCGCCATCTTCAGAAGGTGGCAAAACAGGTCAGCCTTCTTACAAAATAGGTGTCTTAGTAAACTATTTTGGGGGAGAAGGCACCTAAATTCAGGTTTAGCCTCGCGTGCACATTTTGCTGTCAGCGGCCCTGGCTGTAAGCACTTTATAATGTCTCTAGCCCCATCAAGGAAATAGTTCGACTTCGTAACATTTCCCAAAATAATAACAAACTTTCACTAAACGGAAATATTTTGTTTTTCAAATCTTAGAACACAATTTTTTACTATTAATTTTCCACAAAGACAATACCTAATTTCTAATGTTTAAATTGAAGACTAAGCACATAGGGCTATCAGTTTTGACTTCTGTCATAAATACAAGTGTACCAATGATCAACGGCAAACCGTGGTGACCTTGGAAGTGTCACTTCTCGATTGTCAATATTTGACTACATATTAGCCATTTATGACCCTGAAGATAAAATGTTACTTTTTTTTTTTTGATGAAGGCATCATTATAAGTATTGAGTAATAAATACGACCTTCTGTATGGATTCTCAAGCTGTGCTAAATGTTCCACTAATGGTAGTAACGTTATTATAATCAGTACACATGCAACAAAAAGACAGACATATGTGTACATCCAGGCTGAACAACCAAAATGTTCGCGAGGTGATAAACCAATGTCAAAAGTTAATTTAGTTGGTATTGTTTTCGAAAAGTTTGAGAGCGCATGGCCCAATGTAAATAAAAAGTGCGGTTGCTGGGGACGAGCCATTTGAACGTTTCCGATCAAGCATGTTACCGCTAAGGGTGTACGTCGCTCTTGCCTCCCTCTGCGCGTGGGGCGTCCACGGTGCCACGGAGCTGCTGCAGAACCCTGGCTTTGAGAACGGCATCAGCAACTGGCTGAACGACGGCTTCACGATGACCGCTGACACGTCACAGAAACACGGAGGGACCAAATCCGCGAAATGTACAGGCAGGTCGGTAAATTAAGTTTCATTGAAATTGAAACCTATGTGTGGGTTTTGTGTGGAATTAATATTTCACTTTTTTTTTTTTTTAACACCGGGTGTTCTTTATAAGATCGTATTGTGAACGTTATTGACTTGAAATTTGATCTTTTTAAGAGCCTTGTTATCAAGACGTATACGTAATAAAACAACCACGAAATACAAATATTTTCTTATACATCTTGTATATGAATTTTTGTAATTGTACGTGATTTATTATTTGTATGATAGTAGAGAAATTGATTTTTGGTATGGGAATGGCTTTTAGCAAACTTAGTGCATGCTAACCCTCATAGGCTGAAGATATCTTAAAGCCCAAGAAGGTCACATACACAAAGCACATATTAGCAACAAGTACACAATTGATCTCCACACCAAAAAAAATGCACATATTAAACAAATCATATTAGATTCATCTTCAACTTCAAAAATAATAAAAACTAATTATTGGGGTTGGTTTGGCTGGAAAAAAAGGGGGGGGGCTGAAAATTTGAGAGAAAGTTTTGCCATTGGCAACGAGTCTGTGTGCCAATTTTCATTTAGATAGGATGACGGGAAGTGGGTCAATAGCATTCCAAAAATTTTACCGCCACAAAGAAACACACGAACAGAATTGAATTTAG